GACGTTACGTAACTATGAACTTATACAGAGAAATAATAGCAATCCTTTGTCACTGACTGAGTGAGTGGCTTGGATTTGACGCCGCTTTAAACGGTATTCCTGTTATGTCAAGGCGTGTCAGCTTGATGTGGGAGGAAAACCCGAAGTGATGCAGTGAGCAAGGGTATGGTGCTGATAAACCTATAAGTATAATCGGGGCGAACCGTGACTCGAACCCACAATCATAGTTTTCTGGCGTGCACAAGGGAAGCAACTCTGCAAAGAGAATTGCGGCGCCTTAGACGACGGCGCAAACCGCGACATCACATTGTTCTAAGGTAATTCACAGTTACCAACATGAATAAAACAGTTCTTGGTGCCCCTGCCACGATATGACTTGAATATTGGCAAAAGCAGTGGCAAACCTCACTCACTCATAATTTAATTCAAACTTAAATGTTCGAAAGAAGGACATGGCGTTTTCTTGTGGATAATGTAAGTGATTATTTCATTATTACATGACCGTATGCATTTAGTTCCACATGTGTTCGACATGGCTAAGGTCTGATGGCCAGACTGTCCACTCCATGCGGACAATGGTCTCCTGCTCTATGTAGACATCAACGACCCTGGGTGAGGTCGATGAGGTCGTGTGTTATCGTCCATGAGGATCAAGTCCGGTCCGATTGCACCAGTATACGGTCTAACGTACACATCCCCAATGTGATCCCTGTAGAACACACCTGTCATCGTGCCCCACTGTAGGACATAGACACCAGATCTGCTGATCCCACCAAGAAATCATGATAGATCCACCCCCAGAGCGGCCATGTTCGGTTACGTTGGAGTCCTGAAATCACACTTGGGCACGACGATCTGTGAAGTATTGACACTACCTCCATTCATTAGTGAAAGGTCCTGGAGCCCAGTCCTGATGTAATCTTCAGCTTAATCAAAACGTGTCTGCCTGTGATATCGGGTCAGTGGAATTCGAATGCATGCCCTTCGTGATCAGCCTCACGGAGGCGACTATGCACTCTCTGAGTAGGAACGTTAACGCCACATGCGTTACACAGGTCTTTTCTGAGTGTGGTGACAGTCACGAAGTGATGACGTTTTGCTGCAATCAGGAGAAACCCGTCTCCCCCCTGTCTGGTGGGGCGCTGTCAACCACCTGCATGTCGCTGGATGGCTGATCCAAACATATGGTGTTCATTCCATTCCCTGATTTCACTTTGGATGAAGCCAAAGACGTTTCCAACGTGACGTTTTGTTGACCAAGTTTCAAGTATGCCAAGTTTCATCTGCTTAAATATTCGGTCATTGAGGGGGCACACGTGCATTCGGTTCTTGCCGTCCTCAGTAGCAAGTGTTACTGTGCTCTCTGATATTGATGTGCCACATCTGTCACCATACATCCAAACAGTCATGTTTACAAGCACCTCGTGCATATCGTGCCCATGACCGCATGCCTCTGTCCATTCGATCTGAAACTGAGGTCCTATAGGTGTTACCAATCATTTTGTACCAGCATATTCCAATATTTATGTATTGGGGGCGGTCGGGTAGCCTAGTGGTTAAAGCGTTCGCTCGTCACGCCGAAGACCCGGGTTCGATTCCCGACATGGGTACAATGTGTGAAGCCCATTTCTGGTGTCCCCCGCCGTGATATTGCTGGAATATTGCCAACAGCGGCATAATACCATTGCCGAGGTCGGATTCTATTGAGTCATCATTATTAAGATACGGGTAAATATTTTAAAAGCTTGTACATTTTATCATCATCCTTCTAGTTATACATATCCCCTAGTTATACATATTCCCTGATTATAATATTCCCTTGTTATACACATTCTCTGATTATACATATTCCCTAGTTATACACATTCCCTAGTTATACATATTCCCTAGTTATATACATATTCCCTAAATTTTACATATTCCCTGGTAATACACATTCCCTAATTATACATATTCCCTGTTTGTACATATTCCCTGATTATACATATTCCCGAGTTATACATATTTCCTAGTAATACATATTCCCTGATTATACATGTTCCCTATTTATACATTTTCTCTGATTAGAGATATTCCCTGGTAATACATATTCCCTGATTATACATATTCCCTATTTATACATTTTCTCTGATTAGAGATATTCCCTAGTTATACATATTTCCTGATTATACATATTCCCTGATTATACTCTTCCCTAATTATACATATTCCCTCATTATACATATTATCTAGTTACAGACATTCCCTAGTGATGCATATTCCCTAGTTATATACATATTCCCTAAATTATACATATTCCCTGATTATACACAATCCCTAATTATACATATTCCCTGTTTGTACATATTCCCTAGTGACACACATTCCCGAGTTATACATATTCCCTGATTATACATATTCCCTAGTTATACATATTTCTTAGTTATACATATTCACTGATTATACATATTCGCTATTTATACATTTATTCTGATTAGACATATTCCCTGGTTATACATATTTCCTGATTATACATAATCCCTGATTATACTTTTCCCTAGTTATACATATTCACTGATTATACTTATTCCCTAGTTATACATATTTCCTAGTTATACATATTCCCTGATTATACATATTCGCTATTTATACATACTTCCTGACTATACATATTGCCTGATTATACTTTTCCCTAGTTATACATATTCCCTGATTATACATATTATCTATTATCTATTATCCTTGGCGGTCAGCTCCCCGTCATCTTCACCTTTGACCATTTCCTCTACCACTAGAGGGCTCTCCTACACACTGAGGGGACTCTCCGATGTCTTGTCATGGGCAGGGCGGCGTCTGCGCAGGTAGTTGCGCAGATCCCCGCCGGGAATATACTCCAAGATCAGAAAGAGGCTCTGTAACGCCAGAGAACGTTCACGTTTATATTGACTTGTTATGACACCATACACATCACCTCCACAAATAAAACAATGGCGAAGATTGATGCTCATGATTTCAATCACTGGATTGTCTGGTCCAGACTCGATTATTTGCACATCTCCGTCATATAGCTGAAATATTGATGAGCGCGGCGTTGAGCGACGTTAAACAACAAACAAACAAACGTTCACAAAGATATTAATTAATTAACAGAATCCAATGGGCTTAAAAGACAAACTTATATGAACAGATCACTTAAATTCAGCGATGACATCAGGACAGTGGTGATGGCAAAAAAGGGTGTCCTGATCTACCAGTAGCACCTGCATGAACACGTAAGTCTTTGTTTGTTGCCTATGGCCGCACAACAGTCCCCCTGCCATGTCGCGGCCTTCAAACGATCGAGTCTTGACCAGACAATATAGCAACATGACGGCGCGCTTTCACTGTGACTGACTTAACGAGGCAGTTGTTACCAGACCTTTCTCAGCCATGATGATGATGATGTTATTACAAAAGATGTTACTGTAGAGCTACTTGACCATACATGCGAGCACTTTGTTGCCTGTACCCCCTGGGCGCTCCGATCTCACATAAATTATTGCACAATACAGGCAAGTACGGAAGCTTTTGGCAGCGTTAGAAATTGTTATAAGTCATGTAGTCCTTGCCAAAATGCCCAATAGTTGAGGTATCAGGGTTTGGCCATTTGTTATCATTATGAGGACCAGTGGACTAAAACTGTAAGTTTCTAGCCCTGTTTTTAGGGCCATTTGTTTTCTTCTTTTTTTCTTGAAATTTCAAGTTTATTTAGTTTCACGTTTATTTCAAGATAATAAGTTGAAATTTCAAGATACATACTTATTTGAAATTTCAAGATAGTCAATTGAAATTTCAAGTTGCTTCGTTGAAATTTTAAGATGCTACGTTGAAATTTCAAGATACTCAATTGAAATTTCAAGTTGCTACGCTGAAATTTTAAGAAGCTACGAATTTTCAAGATACATACTTAGTTGAAATTTCAATATAATCACTTAGTATCTTGAAATTTCAACTTGGTATCATGAAATTTCAAGATCGTATCGAAACAAATAAAGAGCAAATGGCCCTAAAAGGCTTCCGTAGGCAAAAATAAAATCGAAATTAAATATATCCCGGTATCATCTCTTGATGTTGTCAAGATATTTATTTTTATTTTGAGATTAGGTTTGTCTGCATTGAGGGCTATGTGATATCAGTCAACTGAAATTAATTTCTATTAGTCAAGTGAACGGCCTGTGTTGACATTAAATGTGGATGCTGTTTCTGGCAGACCAGGAAGCTGTATGCTCTAAGCTGCTATCTAGACTTAACTTAAATATATATGTTTCGCTACGTAATAATAAAGAACACAGACTCTGGCTGCTTGCACTTGAACGTCCTGAACAGTTCCCAAACCTGTCTCATCTTGTACCACTGGGATGCCTAAATATAGAATCTAGGGAATGTCGGTTTAGAATTGTAGCTCAGGATATTATCAAGCATGTCTTTTTGTATTGTACATTGAATATGAATGACAGAAATGAACTATTTGAAATCATTTGTGATGTGATAGATGTCTCAACATTTGCAAGACTATGTAGTGAGGACGATGATATAATCCTGTCTGTACTACTTGGCGGTATGCCTGAGTGTGTTAGCTCTTTATCTCAAAGTCTATGGGGTGAACCTTTGGTTATCGTGTCAAGATAGGAAATGGCTGTATCTGTTACAAAACAGTTATAAGAATACTTGATTGTCATGCATTTTGTAGTAATCATTTCTCATAATATTGTTAAATTGTACTACTGTACAGCTCTGTAATTATACATAATATCATATATGAAATGTATCTTCAATATCTGGAGGAAATAAAGAATAAAGAATATCTATCTAACAGAATGTAATATATAGAGCGACAGCAGTCGCCTCTGGATAGACAACAATTTGTTTCAACTAATAGATCGTACTATCTGCAACAGCTGTACCCCGTATCATTGATTTAATTTCTGTTTAGGGTAAGGGTTAGAGATACGCGAGACTGATTATTCTCTGCAGCTGACGTTGTAAGTTTACACGACTTATGATTTCTTCATCCAGTTTGTGTTGCTTTCCTCATACACGAAGAACCGAACAGCTTTATTGGAGTCATATACCCATTCAACATTACATTATTAGAAGAACTTTGTGTCTTAAGGGTGCGTTTTGGAAATTTTAGAATGCGTTGGTTCAGCGGATGCTACCAGAATCGTAAATCTTGCATCAGCATTACTGTGCTGTTCCTTGGCTGCGTCTGTTTTTACTTCACGTCTAGAAAGCATCACATACAGGTAAGACATAACATGGGCTCACTGTCGACCTTGTACTGTTTTTTATTATTATTAAAAACATGTATTTGTTCCTAATCTTAAGAGCACTTGGAGAGTGAACACTTACTTTCAATACTTGTTTCACAAAATAAACCCTAATAACTCATGTCTTTTGCTATGTACGGATATTTAGTTTTTTAATGTGAAGTTTACTCTATATCCGGCTTTTGCATTGGGCGAGAGGTGGGTCACGTGAAATCGAAATTGAAGTTAATACGTATATTGACGACACAATTTGGCGTTCATACGTTTTTCACGAGACAGCGGTAAATGACTTAAACACTGACACACTACTTACACATTCATGGGGAACCCCTAGGAATTCCATTCCACGAACCGATTCAGAAACGTTGTTTCTGATCATTTCGACCCTATAATATTGAATTCAGAGTATTCTTAAATCAGTTCACGATTTCATTGTCAAAAGCAAAAGATTCGAGTAGCTTAATTTTATGCATGTAGTAATGGAAAACTGCATTATCTTATTTCACAGACACCACTGGTATTGGCTTCATATATTTCATTTGTGCATTTAGTATGTTTATGTTTAGCACTATCTTACATATAATCCTATATATAACCAGCTGTTGTAAAGTTATTACCTGGAGAGGTATTTACATAAGCAAGTTTTGCTTGTTTACCGATCAAGATTTCTTTTGAAATAAAAATATGTTTAAACCAACTCAGGGTGAGAGCCATTGTATTAACGTCGTCGCAAGTTCCGACTTCCATAGATGGACCATCTCTCTATGAAGGTTCATATTCAAATGAACTCACACCAAGTGAAAATGAATTCTTAAATCTATTTGACAGATCATTATACTCCCCTTTCAAAGATGGATCCATTGATCAACGATGACTGATAAATGTTACCGCCATAGGTCCACAAACAACGTCGGGGATCGCTCCCGGCATGAGTCGGCCATTTTAACGTCTTGTGCTTCATGTGCACATGCGCGATCAATCAAAATGAACAATCAAGGTCCAAAAGAGTGGTTTATTTCACGATAAAATTGTTTTATCACGACATCATCTTTGGAGATTCAAACATGCGCTCGAAAATTGATGACGTCGTAAATTGGACGACGTTAGTTATGAGCGGAAAATGTCTTATGAGTTGTTCCCCATAGACGTAGCTGGGCTACGCACCTAAACGAGGAAGATATACGAGAATCGGTATTTGGAGAAACGGTACAGATAATCGACGCGAGGATTGTGAAAATATGCGGAAAATACCAATCTTAACCCTCCTGTTGATTCTATTCAAGGAAGTCATGCTTTTTAAAATTAGGGTAAATATTTTTTATAGCTTGTGCATTTTATCAACATACTTAGAGAGACTTACATTATGTTGACATCTCATATAAGAAATAAACGAGTCGTGGTCGTGTTTATCGCACAATAAAACACTGCAGGGACAATAAACTAATCAGGGCTAGGTTTGGGGTCTTCCCAGTTAGCTCAAAACTGAAATTCGGGAGAATTGAGGGGATTAGGGCTATTGGATTATAGCCAGTTCCTGACGGATGAACGCTAGTCAGTTTTAAAGTTTAGAAGCTGAAGACAGCATTTGACAGTTGCATTTTGAGTGAACACCTGTCACCGAGAAAAGTTTTGATTACAAATCGAGTATTGTGTTGTTATTAGTGCACCTGACACTTGAATTTTGAGTGAACACCTGTCACCGAGAAAAGTTTTGATTACCAATCGAATTTTGTGTTGTTATTAGAACACATGACACATGAATTTTCAGTGAACACTCATCACCTAGTTGTGTTGTGGTTAGTATCAACTTACTTAAAGTGACTAGGTATATCAACATGAAGTTACGAAGTGTAGGTCAGGACAACAGGACAACTAAATAAACAATATACCACATGCATCTTCTTAGACTTCTCGAAAGCTTTCGACATGGTATGGCACGATGGGCTAATACAAAAACTTCAAAAAATAGGACTCAAAGGTCAGATAATAAACTACATCCAGGACTTCCTAAACAATCGTAAAATAACCGTGGGTATAGACCAAACACTATCGGACCAATGTCCCCTAGAAAATGGCACTCCCCAGGGCAGTATCCTCAGCCCCAACCTCTTCTATATAATGATAAACGATCTATTCGAGGGCCTATCCCCTAAAGTAAACACATCAAAATTCGCGGATGATGGAGCCCTCTGGATCCGCACTAAAAGCATTAAAATGGCCCAAAATCTACTAAAAAAATCTCTTAAGAAAATACAACAATGGGCTGACAAATGGGGCTTCTCCCTTAACTCAGAAAAAACAACAGGAATAGTATTCAAACATAAAAACATGGAACCCGCCTCCCCAATCCTCCAGCTAAACAACCAAATAATCAAATTTCAAAAACAAACCAAATTCTTAGGACTTATTTTCGATGAACATCTCACCTGGGATGCTCACATCCAAAACCTAACAACTAAATGCAGTAAAGACCTAAACACCATAAGATGCCTCACTGACTCTAATTGGGGAGCCTCCAAGGATACCCTCCTCTCTCTTTACATATCACTAATAAGATCAAAACTAGACTACGGCTGCGCCATATACAACACCCTAAACAACTCTCTATCTAAAAAAACTTGACTCAATACAATATCAGGCTCTCAAGCTAATTACACGCACCCAACATGGCACCTCCTACACTTCACTTCAGGCCTTAACAGGAGAAATGCCACTAAGTCTACGCAGGAAACAGCTAAGCTTAAATTTCTGGGCCGCGTCCCAATCAAACCCTCTCATCCAAAACTTAATAAACCAAAATATCAGCCCCAAAAACCAGGCTCTAGCTCGTAAACACCCCTTACTTACCCCAATATCCCAAAGAATAACAAACTACCTAAATGAACACCAAATTAAAAATCTTAAACAAAACTGCAAGCAATCAAATATCTTCACCCCTAAACTTAAAATACCCAAAATAGACACAACACTAGCTAGCCAAAGAAATAAACAAACCGATGCAAACATAGCTAAAACCACCACACCAGCATACACACACGAACATTGGCCAAATTGGTGTCACATTTACACGGACGGATCTTCAGATCCGACCTCCAAACACACAGGTTTCGGAGTCCATACCACACAACCAACTAAAACCACACAATCCTTCCGACTCCCAAACAACCAATCAATATTCACGGCAGAACTAATGGGCATGGCCTCAACCTTCCATAATCAAGAATCCAAAAACCACAAAAAAATCCTAACACTTACCGACTCCCTAAATGGACTGCAAGCCCTCCAAAACAAAAATACCAAAAACCGACCTAAATTAATAAATCAAATACTTAAAAGCTCCAATGACCTTACTAAGGCAGGCAAACAAATAACCTTCTTGTGGATACCCGCCCACGTAGGAATATACGGTAATGAAAACGCCGATAAGGCAGCCAAACTATCCCTCAAAATCCCAGAAATAAGCTTAAACTTACCAATCTCAAAATCAGAAATTAAAAGTGTAAACAAGCAAAAAATCACAAAAAAATGGCATAACCTATATCTAAACTCAAATAGCCAAATCAAAAAAGGACTCAGCAAACCTTCCGACCAAAAATTATCCATCCATCAAAAACATTCGACAGAGTAATCACTAAACTCCAAACAGGACACATCAACCTAAATAACCACCTAAAAAAAATTTAAAAAATACACTACAGGTAACTGCCCACACTGCAAACAACTAGAAACCCCAGAACACGCACTCATCCACTGCACACAATACCTAACACATCGAACCGCATTACAAACCACCCTCAATCTAAACAAGGCTCTCACTCCAGAAGCAATACTAAACCCACAAAATAAACTAGAAAACTTCAAAGCCTTTTGGCGTATTCTTAATCAAAACGGAACTAATCAAACGCATCTAAAAACACTATAATCGACCAAATCAAAATCACATAAACAAACAAACATCCACCATACCCAGCTCCCTTAGTTCTACTCCCCAACCCCCTCGGCATCTATTCCAAATCTCAAAATTCCCAAATTCTATATAAGCAACACCTAAAGCCCCCTCTTGCGTTGCACACACCACTTTCGCCCCTTTCGGAAACACATTAAATGGCCTGGTCGGTCCAGTGTGCGAAATACGCATCAGTCGGAAAGCGCACGTTAAATCTCCAAAGTAAGTAAGTAAGTAAGTGTAGGTCCGAACCATTATGGCAAACGCTCGAGTGAAAGTCCAGTATATTCCTAACACTAAGGGTGGTAGGATATTGGCTCATGCTGACTATCAATACAAAAGAAATCAGCCACAAAGACACGACATATTGGAGATGTGTACATCATACCACTGGATGTCCAGCCACGCTGGACCCGAAGAATGACGTTGCAGATATACTAGATAAGTTTAAAAACCTCTACAACCGTTATGCAGACCGGTCAAAAGTAGACATTAGGGCCTACTTAAGCAACATGAAGAAGCGTGCTGGTGAAGAAGTGATTCCAGTTACATACTGTAAAAGAATATACCAAGTGTTTTCTCGAAGCTGCCTCGCATGGAGTTCCTGACCTTTAATGTGTCATTTCTTTTTATGTGTTTTTTATAAATTTTGTACAGACATTTATTATTTTTCATACAAACTGTCTTCTGTCAGGAAATGGACAGACTAAACTATAAGCCCCATTGTTCAGCCAATGAACACCTGCGTGACAGCTGACTGCATTTGAGCTGAAAAATGATATTTTGAGCTGGCTGGGAACTAACCCATGGTTTATTCTCCCTCAAGTGTTATATTATATGATAAACAACTCCCATTCGTTGTCTGTTTCTTAGGTGATGTGAGATGAAATTGAGTTTATTGCACTTTATATATAGCAACGTGAAAGCATCATTTGCGTGTGTGGCTGCTTGTACTCGTCCGAAATGATGCCGATTTATAGTGCTAGCATACTGAGATACAATGCCGTAGTTCAACATGAATACTCTGACACAGTATACTGACTCCGACCTGACCGGTCCCTGTTTTAGCCCCTTAGTGCCGAGCGCCAGACAGGGTAACAACAAGCACCATCTTTCAATGTCTGTTGGTATGACGCGGCCGGGGATCGAACCCGGATCTTCCGTTCTTCCAAGTTAGATTTTCCAAATGAACATACGATCTAAATAGTTCGTATATGTTATTTATGCATGGAACTGCAATTGTAAGACAATACATGGTTCGTTGTTTACAAGTGCGTTTGTACAACTTGTTATTGTGTCAACAGACACATGAAATATTCACCATTTTGTTTCTGTTTTCATTAATCGTTCGTAACGAAAGTAATATAATCAATAATAGAGCAACAGTTTTTGATAACAACACCTTGAGACCGCTTTTGGCCCATTGGTAGCATCGGCAGACAAACTATAATATCTGCTTATGATGGAAAATTAATGATGATTGGTTATAGACGTGGCACCACTGGTCATTGTCAGAATCATTAATGCAGTAAACAAGGAGTGTACCCCGAGAGTTAAAATGAGATGTGTCAATATTTGTTTGTATAACACGGATTCATATATACTTGATCTATAGACCCGTGAAGATCAGGGTAGAATAGGTCTTCAGCAACCAATGCTTGTCGTACACGGTGACTATGCTTGTCGTAAGAGGAAACTAACGGGATCAGGCGGTCAGGCTTGCTGACTTGGTTGATGCATGTCATCGTGTCCAAATCAATCAGTGCTTATGATATCATTATTATTTTTATGTTTTTTAGTTTTGCATCATAGACTGCTTGAACACTTCTTTTTTCTCATTCTGTGAGTCACAATATTGGTATGCGTGTGCCATCCATACAAGCAAACACTTGAGAGAATCTACCAACATCTGTATACGAGTCTTTGGTGTATGGAATGGAAATGATCAACTGCACTCGCCTTTGACCACTGCACGGCAAACTTTCAAAAGCTGAATATCATACAATTTCAGAAATTGCCACTCCGAGCTTTTTACATAAAGCTTTGTTACAATAACAATGAAATAATGATATATGTACATTCATATCCCACGAACCTCTAGTCTTTGGCTGTAGCTAACCTGATTTAGTCCTCACTTCGAGACTTAAAAAATGTCTCAAGCTTTATCTCCATGTTATAGTTACTGATTCCACAATAACCCCTTCCAATGATATGAAGATACACTGAACACTGACAAATTTCCCACTGAAAATGTTTTCTTTTCAGCAAATTGAGTTCAGATCCCGGACGAGTCCCCGGTTGCCTTTGTATGCTGATTCCCAAGGTGACACGCAGAAATTGGTACGTATAGAACTACATTGTCTAATAAGTAAAAAAACAAAACAAGATCAATGAACAATACACAAATTATACTGAATAGACATGATTAGCGTTAGAATCACAAAAGGCAACACAATGGCTCAAATATGTGGCAACAGCGATAAATACATAAGCACTCCAGAATTTCCAGTATTTGTCACAGTTTTGTGAATTGCGTTAACATAAAAACTAAATAATAACAATACATTCATATTATACTGACGTCTGAGATCAATAGGATAAATTACAAAGACAATTTACAGCCGGGATCTTCTCACTTAATGAAACTTGGCAAAGCTGATCATCAAGGTTGAAATTAAAGTGTCAAATATTCTTAAAGTGAAACACAACACTAGTCTCTGAGTAAATGGCATCACAAGTCAGTATCTCGTGTGTCTGCCATGAATGACTGCCGTGTAACTTCGATACATGGAATGGATGAGGCGGTTGATGAAGGCCTATAGGCACTTGAGCCCCCACTCTGAGGAACGCCTGACGCAGTTCAGCTGCAGGTGTCGGCCTTGGTCGGACATCATTCAGCCGTCTTTGAATCTCGTCCCACATGTGCTCAATTGGTTTTAATGGGGACTGAGGGCATGCCAATGCATGGTTCCGTTACTATCTGCTGGAGGGAGACTCTTGCTACTCTCGCAGTGTGCGCACGGGCGTTATCATGCTGGTACGGCGTGTGGTCTCAAGACTTGATCAATGTATAGAGCTGCTGTGACACCATTGCCTCTCCCTGGAGAGATGTTCTGAAAGACCACAGGGCCGACCCTCTGCTCGTCAATCGTCGGCGCACTAATGTGTCGCTGGTATGTCCCCATGGTCTGTCGAACAGTTTCCACAGCAGTAACAAAGAGATCTTGAAGATGCTGTCGCACAATCTGACGATAATGACGTCGGGTAGTGACCCTAGGTCTACCACTACGTGGTCTGTCATCTGTAGTGTTGGTGGTCTGGTGCCGTTGCTGGGCAAATGCATGTGCATTTCAATTTGCACGGAACTCACGTGTGTCGGGTTATCATGGCTGTTGCCGTGATGCATTTGAGCGATCGGTTGTATTGTCATCTGCTTTGTTTTTGATCATCAAATTTTATTTCTCCAGACAAGGTATTGTTAACCTTTAGAGGCTTTGACATAACCAAGATATTTAAATGACAACTTTTCATGCAATGTGACTTGGGGTGACGTTTCTTTTGCGGTTCAGTATATGATATTCAGCTCAATTTAATAGTGCTTTGCTGCTTTTTAAAAATAGTTTGACACTTGTTAAAGTTATAATTAGCCTTACACTAAGCGAGGTAACGTTGCTCACTGATAGTGTTTGATATAAAGGGCTTATATAATTGTATATGCCTTGTTTAGCAAACGCTATTGACGAATGGGTAGATCACCCAAACACAAATATTAAATTAAGTTCATTATTACAAACTTTTACTCATACATCGAAGGGGATCACATATTCTCACGATATTACGACAGTGTGCTGTGCAGAAATTACTCAACTGTATCCAGATGCTCAAAGAAACAAGCACTTAGGTTAATGCCTGTCATCGTCACTTGATTGCTGCCTGTGTTACCAAGCACCACCAGAAGGATTAAGACATCAGGCAAACAGTTTCACAAAATATTGGAATGAAGACATCGTTTTCGTAACTGTGTTGATAAAGGCTGCTTCACAAAGAATAAAAAAAAAGTGGTACAATTTGCGAGCACTGGCCAATCAATACGATTAAGTAATTTCAGCAATATTCATGTCCCTGAGCAGTATATAGTTTCTATCTCACATTAGATTCATTAAATGTTAGTGCGAGACTGTGTGAGCAGCAACACCCTTATAACGTTGACACTGGTAACCAGCTTTCAAGATGGCGTAAGACCCGCAGATTGTGCAGGGTCTGAAAACAGGGCGCGCCACGGGCCGGTAATATAAGTTCAAAACTAAGCCAAATAATGGGGGAGCACAGACACAAACTACGTGATCCCCTGGTAATCAGACTAGTACTCCGTTAAAAAAACTGATGAACAGAGACAACTGGAATCATAAAAGAGAAAGATCGATTCAACCAACATGGCGGACGAGGACAAGCATCAACCAGACACTAGCTCTGACAATATTACACTGAAAACAAGGGTCCTGGAGATACAGAAAAACAGAAAATTGATGTCTCGCGAGTACAACGAATAATGCCATAACTGAAATCAGAACACAGGTCCGCCTCGAAGAGGCGTCAACTCTAGATCTACTGAAGAAAAACTTGAAGCAATAGAAACTCGATTAACCAGACAAGAAAATGAGGTTCTGGAGAATCAGCTCGGATTTAATCTACTCTTCCATTGTCTTAACAAAAAACGAGGCAGAGACCGATTATTAAAATTTAATAATTTAGCACTTTTTGAAGTTACAATAACCTTGGTTTGGGTAAACAGGATATAGTGGAAACAGAGTTATTCTCCTTGTTCCTGATTGGGAATGGATAATGTATAAAATAATGCCAATTTCAATGACTTATTCTGAAGAGAAAATAAAAGCTAGACATTGGAAGGGAAGAGAAGTGACTAAACAATTATCAGTTCTTGACACCGAACTGGTGTGAAGTAAAGATGAAACACTACAGCAGCAATATTTATATGTGAAAGCCTCAAAATGAATCAGAAGACATATTTATTAAAAGGCAAAACGAGAAGTAAGTGATTTGAGGAAGGTGAAAAGAGTAAAAATATATAGAAAAGATAACACAAATTAAAACTCAAAAGTTGATGAAATTGAAATGCTCCACGAACTTCATATGTTCTATAAATATCAATATTCACAACAGAAACTGAATTTGAAACTGACTAAGGTGCAAAAGGAAATCTCACAGAAAATGATTTAAGACATTCATTGTGTAACATTAAAAGCAACAAGACCCCAGGATGTCACAGCGCGTCTGTAGAGCTTTCTCAATATTTTGTGGAAATCTCTAAAAGCCATTCTTCAATTATGTCAACCATTTCTTCCAAACATGTAAGTTAACAATATCTCAAAAAGAGGAATTATTAGACTTTTAGATAAACACGGAAAAGACACGTCAATGATTGAAAGCAAGAGACCAATTACATTGTTAAATGTATATTATAAAATAATTGCAAAGCTGTTACAAATAGACTAAAGTCTCTCCTGCCAGTTCCTCCTCTTAAATTGGGTTCATTAAAGGCAGATATATTAGGGAGGCTATTAGATGTTTGTCAGATCTGTTGGAAATGTACGATGATTCTGATGAAGGAATTATTGTGTCTTCAGATTTTCAAAAGGCTTTTGATTTTAGGGAAAAATGTTTTGAAAAGTTCAATTTTGGACCAAAGATGTGTTATTTGGTTTTCTATTTGTTATAACTCCCCAGAAAGTTGTGTTATTAATAAAGGTAGATCTACACAATGGATTCTTTCATTTGTAGGAGTAAGGTAAGGCTGTCCCTTAAGCCCATATATATTTATTACATGATTAGAAGCCTTCAATATAAAATTATGTAATGATATAATGATATGTGAGGAATTTCTATAGGTAATAAAGAATGATCTATTTAGCTGACGATACCAACTTAACTCTTAAATATATGAAATCAGTTGAAAAAGCTTTTGAATATTATAATCAAACTCGAAAGGTAACTGGTTTCAAAATAGATCCCCCTGAAAAGTAGTACCATGCTAATTCAGAATCTCTCACAAGGAACATGTATTAGTGGAAGTAGTATTTAATGGAGTTAAGTGTCTCAGTATTTAACTGTTTCGAAATAATAATATCTTGGCTGCAGAAAATGTAAGACCACAAATTTAGAAATCTAACAATATATGGAGGACTTTACTTTCTAAAGGAAAAGGCTGCTCTTGATTAATATATCGAAGTAGTAGGATGCAAGTACAGCATTAAGAAAGTAAATTAATGCTGATTCACTTAAGTTTATTTGGAATTATAAACGAGAAAAGGTTAAAGTAACTACTGTAATAAACACGAGTGATAATGGAGAAGCATCAATATTTAAATTGGATAATATGTGTAAATCCCTATGTCTTGCATGGATTCCAAGATCTTTTGCAACAAAAGCTTGTTGGAAAATTATTCTTGATTTGCCTTTCAATAGAGTAGGGGGTTAAACTTCAGGTATTGGTTCCATCATTTCATGAATATTTGTTGAATTCATGGAAGAATACTGTTGACAAAGATACTATATTTAACCTAATTTTATTGAATGATAATTTGGTTATTGTGAATGGAAAAACTTTTTATAATGAAAGCTGGGTTAAAGCGGGTGTTATTTTCGTTAGGAATATATATTATGATGGTGGTCATGTAACAAGTAAACACGAACTGCAAGTTCTACAATAAGATCTATCCAAAGGGCAGTTGGTTGTAATATGTTATATCCATAGACCAAGATGACCTGACTGAGATCCTGATAGCTCACAGAAATTGAGGGGAAATGATACAAAGAAATTAGGTCTAGAATGTTTTATCAGGTTTTGAATAACAGTAAAGTTACTTTGCCATATACAATTCATAACACTCCTTATTTTAAGGTTATGTTTGCTGATATGTGTAAGTTACCTGTGCAAAACAAGATGAAAGAATTGGCGTTCACGAATTTTGATAATATTGTACTTTGCAGAAAATGGTTATTCCAAATTCGTTGTGCAGATGGCCCCATCTGTGGAGTTTGTGAGGATGGTCTTATGAAATTTTAGTTTTAGTTCTTGTTAACATTGAAATTGAAGGATGAAGTCTTATGAAGGATATTATTTAGTATGCTCTTATGTGAAAAATACATTCAAAATCAGAAGTCCTTGACCACGTGCACATGGATGGTTTGTTGTAAAAGTGAGGTTAGTATCCATGGTAATAAAAGCAAACAAAAACAAACAAAAGAAAAAAAGCCTTTAAGATGGCCATAATACACTATAAAAGCAAAGAAGAAAGTCAATAATTCTATTGCTTTAGTTTGCAACAAGTTGACATACAGAGACAAAGTTTGTAACGTCGTTTTTTCTTACTCTATGATTGAGTTTCATCAATTTATTAAAACAGGAACTACTCAACACATTCGCCAGCAAGTGCTTACATCATGGTATTCCTATATTTGTCATCGAACCATCCGTACTGCATCACCTGTTGTCTGCCAATGAGTCGGAACCTCCCTGTATCCTGTGCTCGGCCGGAGATGTCATCTCACTGGGGGTGTTCGGAGCAGACTGGGACAAAGGGGTATGTTAAAACCATAACACACTGCAAAATTAACTCAGGGCAAAGACACTTTTCTCCATCAATATTACCGGCCCATGTAAATTGTCAAGTTGGACACCAGAGCCTTCGTAGCTCATCCAAAATGGTTCAAGCCAAGAGGGTAATTGGCTATCATGTCGTCTGGTATATCTACGTTGAAGTATCTTGCCGAATTTACTATTCCCCCTGTCATAAATTACGGGCATACCTTCTCATACTCAGGTGATCTTTCAATACCAATCTTGATCACATAATAATGTATTCATGATAAATTGAGTGAGGGAGTTAAACGTTAACGTCACATTAATATTTCAGTCATATCGTGACGAGAACTATATATATATGTATCGTCGTTGAGCAAGGCAATAACAATCACAGTTTCGATTTAAAAGTAGTCGAGAGCATTTAAAAGAAGAAGTTATTGTTCAACAACACAAAATAAAAAAGGGTTATAGACCGCCAGCAACCAAAGTCAGGCCACCATACTAGGGACCGTGGGGACTTTCGAAATTCCGCGGTTCCACAGTAGGATTTATACCCTTCCTTCAGCTGCTGGAGATGTATGCAATTTGAGCCATCAATGTAAAATGGCAAATGTACTACTTTTATAAGTATGGCATGCATAAAAATACTTTGAATGACGTGAAACTTATATACCCACTTAGGAGGACACTAACAATCTACGTTACTATTTAGCAGCTCCAATTAATATAATAACACACTTTGTACATCAAGATTTATGAATCAATTCTATTTCTCTTAAAAAGCACAATATAAATGAGAAATAACATTACTAGAAAAGTTCGTGGACGTTTGAAAGTTAAATATGTATCCCTTGTGATGGAACAAAAATCAGTAGAGTCAAGCAGGACATGCTTGACCGTGAATGAGGGCTATATCTTGAAGGTCAATATTTGCAAATGAAATGGCTTTTTTATTCTGATTCCGAATAATGGGATAAGAGATGATTTCTTGTTGTAAATATCTTCATCAAGAGGATTAAAAACGCAATCAAAAGCTGAATATGCCTGTTTTGAATATAATTTAGTGTTGTATTGTAAGGGTGATTTCAGACGGCGTTGGTCAATGGGTAATTCCTCCGCTTCCTATGAATGGGAGAAGTTCTGAAGGCTCCAAGGCAAAGCCTGAGGCCTTGATGATGAAGAGTATCTAGTTTTTTTGTAAATTACATTTACATGCTCCACCATAGACGATGGAGCCGTAATCAAGTTCTGAACGAATTAGTGACCTGTACAAGCGTAAGAGGGTTAGGTCTTTGAAAGGCATTTAGAATTTATACACATAAGGAAGAGAATATATGGATGGCAACTTCTTTATTATGAGGAACATAACATAGAAGTTGATATCCATATATTATCTTCCTTATGTAAGAGGGTTGTCTTATCCCCTACCCACTCTGAATTAGAAACTTCTTTCAACAAATCACCTTTAGGTATTGGCTTTGAGGTATTTAATATTAGGAGGTTAAATGGCTGTCAAAGTCCCAATAACTTGGCCTCCTTTACAACTGTGATAGGGGAGAATTCAAAAATAGTTCAGGGTCCTTATGCGACTTACATTTTCTGCAGAAAAGCATACAATAAGTTTTTAAAATTCGAAAATCTGTTCTCAAGAAACCACTTGTGAATTTTTAGACAGATTTGTAACTGCCTCTTTATTGTAGACATATTTTTACCCCGACAAGAAATATTAAGATCATCCACGAACAGTGATCCATATACTGAATCAGTTAAAACCTTTGAAAGACTATATATTTTAATACTAAACAATCTGACAGACAGAATTGAGGGACGCCCTGATACTGATAATAATGGTCAGACAAGGTTGAACCCTCTCGGACTTGTAACTGTCTATCTGTAAAACTGTGATATAAGATGACCTCAATAATATAAAATCTTCTAAATTGCCATGCTTCCAGGCAGTAGAGCATACTTTCGCAACATCAAAGAAAATTTATATTGATACTACTTGTTTATTTACTACAGCATTTTAACAAAGGATTCCAATCGTACGAAATGATCAGTTTTGTACTTCTATTTGTAGCTCATGTAATGAACATACTTCACTGCAATCTTCACCGTTTGAATCAAAATTAACATTTTTATTTTCCTGCTGTTTCTGTTATCTCTCAAACGCAGGGACGTAAGTTTATTTGCAATGTCAGATTTATCAGTTGTTAATTTGTCACCTTCTTTAATATGGTGCACAGATGACTTTTTAACCTTTGCCTTAAAGCTTTCAACCTTGTTCCACACCTTGTACGTAGTTGTGCATAAATTAATTTGGAGATATAGTTCCTGCAAGAATGCTGCTTATTGTGGTTATACGCACGTCGTCCTTTGGCACCAGTAGTAATCTTAACTTCATCTAAGTTCTTGCTTGATTGGATTCATTATTAAACCATGGTTTACGAATTTAAGGATTTGCAGAGGACTTAGGAATTGTGAGGTCAGTAATTTCATTCAGTTCAGCCGAAAACAACTGTATGAGATTTTTTAAATTGTCAGGTTTTACTTTTTCAGCACATGCTATTTTGTACACTGACAAATTCGCCTTTGCAAAATTCCACCATCCATGATGAAGGGGGTTATCATCCGGTTTTACAGTTTTGAGGACAATAGGGAAGTGAATCTTCAATGGCTTTGCCCTTATTGCTTGTATTTGCACTTCCAAATAGAGGGGACCCTTGAAGATCCGGGGTAGAACAGGTCTTCAGAACCCATGCTGACCCGTGAAGATCCGGGGTAGAATAGGTCTTCAGCAACCATGCTTGCCGTAAAAGGCCACTTTGCTTGTCGTAAAAAGAGACTAACGGGATCGGGTGGTCAGGCTGATGCATGTCATCTATCCCAATTGCCTGGATCGATGTTCATGATGAAAATCACTGGATTGTCTGGTCAAGACTCGATTATTTACACACCGCCGTCATATAGCTGGAATATTGCTGAATGCGGCGTTAAACAACAAACCAAACCAAACCAAACCCAATAGAGGGTTGTGCCCATTTAAATCTCCCTTGATGACGCAGGGCTGATCATATCGATTCTGAAGAACAGAATGTCGAAGAGCAGATGACGGGGGGATATACAATGAGCACAAAGTAAATACAGTGTGCAAGGCGGATAGCAACAGCTTGAAGATTAGTTTTTAAATAAATAGCACTATGAATGATGTCCTAACTTATAAAATAGTGGAGCCTCCAGTCTCTAATCACCCGGAATTCACATCGTTGGAAACTGATAACAGCTTTTCAATATTTCTGAAAGTCAGGATTCTTTAGCATTGTGGTTGCTCATGTTACAGGTACAGCTTCAACATTATATGAACTGTAGTCATGGTTGTATCACTGCGAACATTCTATTTTATGAAGCAATTACATGTGTGTATCGATTATTAAGCTACACATTTTAGGCTTAAGATATATTTTTCGTCACAGGAATCTCTCCTTCTAGAATTCAATGACCTTGATATTGTACTGAATGAAGTGACCGCTCCTGATCCCCGCCTGTTGTCCTTGGAGCGGATCACTGTCCCCAGTGTTCCTACACATTACCTCATCCGCCAGTCGGGAAGCCTTCCTCTGCATCTGGTGGTATTCTACGAACGGGACGATAACTACTGGTGGCACAGTTCGCTTGAACCCTCGACTACCTCGAACAGTCAGATCTTTCAAGGATTGAACACTACGTTTGGAAACAGCGCCGGAGCATATGACAGGTACAAGACGTGTCTTTTACCACCTGGGCACATTGCATCGGTCAACTCATGTGTTGTATTTATAGTATGACTCGTGCTACAAACACATTTCAAAATCAAGTATTACATTTTGAGTGAGTGTGTGAGTTGGTTTAACACCGCTTTGAACCGTGTCATTTTGCTGTATTTTTCTACGGGAATATTGCTCGTCATTAGGGGGAAGACGTTGCACACAAGGGCTGTTTGATTGATTTGTACTAATGTACTAATGTACTAACATTTATCTTTATAATGTTTGGCATTTGCGATTATTTGTCGTTGAATATTTCATAAAAATAATGCCCTGAAACATTTAATATTTATTGTCCTCCAATGGAGAGGCAGAATCAAAGCCCAAAACTGCCATTTAGAAGTGATACACATAAGGAGTGAGTGAGTGAGTGAGTATGGTTTTACGCCGCTTTTAGCAATATTCCAGCAATATCGCGGCGGGGGACACCAGAAATGGGCTTCACACATTGTACCCATGTCGGGAATCGAACCCGGGTCTTCGACGTGACGAGCGAACGCTTTAACCACTAGGCTACCCGACCGTCCCATACACATAAGGAAGAGAATATATGGATGTCAACTTCTTTATTATGAGGAACACAACGTTTCGGAGTATATGCTTACTCCTTCATCAGCTAGGACAGGAACAATGTTCCCTTATGCTTCTTGCTGTATATACTCTGTGTTTGCTTCATATTAAAATTGTTTTGTTATAGAAAACCGAATCATGTAACTATACTGAACAACAAAAAATCCTGTGACATTGAATAAGATTTAATGCAAAGTTCTGTTTTTTACCAAATCTGAAACAAGTTCGGTTTGCTACAGATAAAAGACTCCTGTAAGTGTTCAAATGGTTTAATTTGCCGTACTGACTTCAGAAAATGCCTGATTTCATAAAAAAAACATGAACATGCCAAAATGTCAATTTACAAATCAATAGCGTGTGTGTCCACCTCTGTTTGCGATGCAAGCAACACATCTTCCTCTCATGGAATGGACCTAGGCGTCACACAAAGTCCTGTGGGATATCTGTCCATATCTGCTGGAGCATGTTTCGAAGTTCCAGGAGTATCTGTGGAACACGTGTTTGACGTCGAAGGCGCTGATCCATCTCATACCACGTGTGCTCGATTGGTGAGAGATCAGGGGAGCGAGCCGGCCAGGGGATGACATTCACGTTGATTTGTTGAAGGGAATCCTGAACAAGTCCAGCAATATGAGGCCGGGCGTTGTCATGTTGAAAGATAATGCCTGGGCCATGACGACGCAAAAACGGTAGAACAACAGGGCCGATGATCTCGTCGCCCGAGCGCTGTCCATTGAGATTTCCCTCTACCACTATCAAACGGGTCCTCTGTCTTGCTGTAATCCCACCCCATACTATAACGCTGCCGCCCCCGAACCGATCTTCTTCCATGACACAATGATTGACGTAGCGTTCACCTCGACGTCGGTACACTCGAATCCGTCCATCGCTGTGGCTGAGGTGAAAACGAGGCTCGTCAGTGAAGAGAACTTGTCCCCAGTGCATGGCCGTCCAGCGTAGACGCTGTCGGCACCACTGTAGACGTGCTTGACGGTAATTTCCTGCCAAAATGGGACGTCTGGCGGGTCTTCTGGCGACAATCCCTTCACATCTTAGTCGGCGACGTACGGTTTGTGAAGATATTCGTCGAAGGCCAGGGATGCTTCTTGCAGTCACTGTTGCTGGCTGGAATCGATTTTGTAGGTGTGTTGTTCCAATCCAGTTATCTTGTCGATTATTAGTTCCGCGTGGCCTGCCACTCCGAGAATGGTCTCTGACTGCAATCGTCTGTTGCCAACGTTGCCATAAACACCAAATGGTGTTTCCGTGGACGTTAAATTGTCTTGCATAATCACGTTGACTCGATCCTGCTTCACGCATACCAATGGCTCGCAGACGCTCATTTTCGGACAGGCGTGGCATTTCATAATGTTGAATAATTGCGTAATTTGTTGTTTTTCTGAGTGGTTGTTGTCAGCACGTTGCTAAACGGTGCATATACAATCCCGCTAACGCACATGTTTTTATACCCATTCTTGGGTAGTGAAATGAGTGGGGCCTGCATAAAAGTCAACTTTTGCATGGAATGCATGCTTTTCTGTAGCAGTTGCGTTTTTGTGACTTGATTCCATACATGTACTACAATATTGAAAACCAAACTTTACTTGTTTGAAAAATACACTTAAATATTGGTGTCACAGGAACTTTTGTTGTTGAGTATATTTGGGAGAGACTATCTAAGTTGTGAAAACTTGTGCCAAATCCTTTTCCTTGTGATTAAAATATATTTAAATCATAACTAGATTCGATGTCCGACTGACGACGGTGGACGGCATGTGGCTCTACCTCCCGCACCCAGTAGGGGAGTTCCTGGCCCAGATGCCGAGGTCCAAGTTCATTGAGTGTGACTACCAAGGGGCGCAGACATATCTCAGTAAAAACTCTGCAGAAAGAAGTGGACTAACATTACATGGAGCAAAAGTCCTGTACCAAGCGAAGAGGGCTCTGGATCCTCTTGGCGTTCCTTTCTGGCTCAGTTTTGGCACGTGTCTTGGTGAGAGCACCTGTATGGCATTATGTTACGTCACCAACCACCATTGGTGGAACGAGGCCCTTGGCACGAAGCTTTATGGATAGTGTAAGCCGCCCGATGGCGTCATTGGAAATGCGATCGCACTCCGCCAAGAACGCACGTTATTGGCTGTGGACCTTTTGGACCTTGTCTTATCTGTCTACCAAGACGATCCCTAATATATTCTATCGGTGAGAGGTCTCATGACAGCTAATGTCACTAGGGTACATTATTTATGTTAAGAAAGCCCTGGATTATTCGAGCAGTGTGGATCTGACATTGTAATTTTGAAACATTGTCGCCTGTGGTTATCTTCTGACATAGGGAGTTAGTAAGTGAGTGAGTTGGGTTTAACACCGCTTTTAACAGCATTCCAGTGTGGGAGGAAGCCAGAAGTGATGCAGGTCTCAGACGTTTACCACTTCGGTGAAACCCACGAGCACGGGTATGGTGCTGACCAACCTAGAAACATAATCGAGCGAACCGGGATTCGAACCATCAATCATAGGTTTCTGGCGTGCCAAAGGGGTGAATCGCGGCGCGTTAGACGACGGGGCCACCCGTGCCCCCCTGACACATGGAAGGACACCTTGAAGGACACAGTTCGGAACCAATGCTATTTATTATGCAGATGTTGACGGGTCAAAGCTATTCTGCGGTAGGGTCTGCGAATTCCTGAGCACTGCAACTTATTGCCTTGATATTTGTGTCCTATAGTGCGGCGTCTCAATCCCGTCAATGACGTCACCGTCAGGAAGCGGTTGAGCAGTCGCACGCCACACTGTCCGGTCACACGTGGTCTACGGCACTGTGGCCTGCCCCACGTTTTCGGATCCACCTGTTTGGACTTTATACCTTTAAAACATCTCATCTCGCGTTAGACCCGTGAAGATCCGGGTAAGAACAGGTCTTCAGCAACCCATGCTTACCGTAAAAGGCGACTATGCTTGTCGTAAGAGGCGGCTTACGTGATCGGGTGGTCAGGCTCGTTGATTTGGTTGATGCATGTCATCGATCCCAATTGCGCGGATCGTTGCTCATTATATCAATCCCTGGATTGTCTGGTCCTGATTCGATTATTTACAGACCGCCGTCGTGTAGCTGGAATATTGCTGAACGTAATCATCCACCATGTATAAATGAGGAAGGGCCATACCCAGAAAGCCCAACCTTCATGTGAATGATTATGCTTGTGCGTAATTTCAATGCATCATTTATACAATCATTACCTTCCACAATGGATATTTTGCGAATGCAGTAAACATGTGTTACTTTATTTCTTAGAAACAGATTGACCAAATAAATGTTCCAGGGTTTTTTTCTTGTCCAGACTCGATTATTTACAGACCGCCGTCGTATAGCTGGAATAGTGCTGAGTGCAGCGTAAAACAACAAACAATAACAACAACAATATAACTATGTATACTTTCCTTTTATCGGCTGTTTATTTCTTATATATAATCAAGATGTGACCAGGTTCCTTTTATATGAAACATACAAATAACGAGTTTTAAACTTAATTTCTAATACACAGCTTTATGTTTTTCCTTTCCGAAAATGTAAACAGTTGAAACAGCACCAATCTAATACAACAAATTGTATCTTACTGGACGTCTGTTATGCATACGAGATTGACAGTGAACCGGACGTTGACATTGTGCCAAAATACATACTCCAAACGTTGTGTTTATCAGGTTGGTATCGACAGTGTGGTTTCATTCCCTATACCAGTGATATAGACATAGAGATTCCCATTCAGCGCTACAGTACAGGCATCCTGCCGGCGTTTTTGAAAGCCGGGTTTAAACTCCTGCATGTCAAGGGGAAGGTGAGTCTGTATGTTCTTTTTTTAAACTCTTCTTTATGGAATTCGAGTTTTAAATGTTCTTTACTGTATTTTATGGTATTAGGGTTTCAACTCGTTCTTTGCCTTATTTTACGCTATTCGGATTTAAACTCTTTTTCACGGTATTTTACGGTATTCGGGGTTCAACTCTTCCTTACGGCGCCTTTGCATGTGTGCGGCAGGATACGCTGACCATTTCGGGAATACCTGGTATCATTACTATTTCATAGTGATTCATAAACACATGCTCATGATATAGTCGGGATTGTATAATCGATTATACAATCTTTTGTATATGGAAAGGGTTTTGTCCCTGTTTTATGGTATTTGGGTTTCAACTCTTTCTTTGCGGTATTTTATGGTATTTGGGTTTCAACTCTTTCTTTGCGGTATTTTATGGTATTTAGGTTTTAAGGCTTTCTTTGCGGTATTTTATGGTGTTCCGGTCTCAACTCTTCTGTAAGGTGTTTTATGGTATTCAGCTTTTATCTGTTCTTTGCGGTATTTGGGTTTGAATTCTTCTTTAGGTCTTGCAAAATGATATTATGATAGTAGCCAGATGACTACGCATGCAGGTTTTTTTTAGTAAATATTCACCGTTGTATTTGCGTATTTGTTATTTATACATGTGTTCAATGTAAACGCAGGACAAATCGCCAGAAAAGTTGTTGAAACTACGAAATCTCTGAACTGTGAATAAACCTATTCTGTCTAAGCCAGCTGTCATCCAAAGTCTAGCTGTCCTACATTAAATGTGTGTAGAAGAAGAAGTCTTTTATTTGTACCAAGGCCACTGACCCATATACAATACATACATTTGAAATAGTGTGGTGCATGAAAAAAATGTAAAGTCAGGTACAGATTTACGTAATATAAGTGAAATATTATTCAATTAGTAAGGAATGTTAACATTTGAAATATCCGTGCAAGTAGTAGATTCTTTTCTCACTGCATTGTAGATGTCTGATAGTTTCGAAATGGCTATTAAAGCTCATGGCATCAAGATCGATGTGTCCTTCGTGTATGAGGAGAAGACCTATCTATGGCAAGGAGGAACCGACGCCCACGATGGCAAGAAGTATAAGTGAGTGTTAAAAATACAAATCTCCTACCCCATCCTACATAATCCCATTTGTGCTTTTTCAAAACGTGTTACCTTCGCAGTAGTATTAGCTTCTAGCCTAACTATTTAAGAACTGACTTCAGTATGTTTTGCTTGTGTATTGTTCTGTGTTAATCTGCGTGTGCACATCTGGGTTTGTATTCATACACGAACGCAAAATAATAATATTAATAGAATATGCAGTACAAGCCCCACCCACGCTATTATCAGCCACTCATAAAACATTAGTCTTCTTGTGGGCGTGGCCTATTTCTCAGGTTTATGAATACATAAAGCACAAACAATGCTTGGTTAACCAATCAAATGCCATGGAATCACTTCCAATTATATGTATGTGTACATGATGCTTTGCTCTGTGGTTCACTGGCCTTCATTGGTAGCTTCTTAAAGATTACAGGGGCGTTCGGGTAGCCTTGTGGTTAAAGCGTTCGCTTGTCACGTCGAAGAACTATGTTCGATTCCCGACATGGGTACAATGTGTGAAGCCCATTTCTGGTGTCCCCCGCCGTGATATTGCTGGAATATTGCTAACAGCAGCGTAAAACGATACTCACTCTCTCTGAAAGATTACAGTTTGCAGGCAACACTTATGGCTGAGATGAGGCTGATGTCATGTTGACATTTGTACCTCACTAACTCACACATGATGCTCATCACTGCATGCTACTGGGGCCTCATGCCTATTGAGCGGCCCTGCTTTGGTTGCTAGTGGTTTCTGCTGGTAATTAATGTTGATAGTATTTAAATACGTTTTACTTCTAATAATAAAACTCGGGTAGAAGGATATAAGCATGAATATTATTCCAGATACACTTTTCCAAAGTTTGACACTTGCTGGACTGACTTCATGGGTTGCCGACTGCGCGTCCCCTGTCCTACTCTACCCTACATCACTGCCGCATATGGCAAGAACTGGAACACTTCAGTGAAGCAGTGGGACTGGAGGGGAAGCGGTAGTAACGCGCAGAAGAACGGGGTCTGGCCAAAGGAGGAATGGCAAACAGTGATACAGGGGACACACTAGTGGGTCAATATCAGTAAATCAGAGCTACTGTACTGGCGGTCAGCTCATCATTAAAATGGGCAAACGTGTCGGCATGCCTTCATGAATATATCTTACACATGTACCGTGTCTTCAATTCAATCTGGAAACACGACAGACCGACGGAGTTCCCTTATTTAGATATAACACGCCAAGGCAGGAAAATAACAAATGACACAGGTTCGGAACAGACAAGTAAATGAGATGAATAAGTATTCGTTTCCTGACGTCGCACAGTAGTACTCCCGCCTGGCGATGGAGGCCACAAGGGATATCACAAGCTTATTTGTCATTTTATTTTTTTAATATTCATTAATGAGTTTAAGATATTAAAATTGCTGAAAATCAGTTACTTGTTTCATAATTATCAATTTGTGTATGAAACAAAATTGTTTTTGGCTATATTTTTGCTTGCAGATAAAGTACTCTGACACTTTAAAATGTTGAAACAAATTGCAGACTTTTCTCATGTTGATGAAAAAAACAACTTGAACATTTATTTGGTCCATCTGGTTCTTAAAAATTGAACGTCAGTTTGGATGGGTTCATTGAAGTGTGAACGATTTAAAAGCGCTCGTTAAACTGTGCTGGTGATTTTTTTTGTCCGTTCACAGGTGTGTGAACTCAAAATATCAGATCACGTGATTACCCCTTCCGCCAATCAGCATGAAAGAAACAGTGTAAACTTCAAAGAAAGAAATTATTAATAAATAAAGTAACACATGTTTACAACATTCGCACGATATCCATTGTGGACTTTCAGGTAGAGATTGTGTAAATGATGCATTGAAATTACCTACAAGCATAATCATTCACATGAAGGTTGGGCTTTCTGGGTATGGCCCTTCCTCATTTATACATGGTGGATGATTACGTTCAGCAATAATCGTCGAATCAGGACCAGACAATTCAGTGATTGATATCATGAACATCGATCCACGCAATTGGCATACGATGACATGCATGAACCAAGTGAGCGAGCCTGATCGCCCGATCCCGTTAGTCGCCTCTTACGACAAGCAAAAGATCTATTCCACCCCCGATCTTCACGGGTCGAGATGATAAATGAATATATTACAACACATATTGCAACATATATTACAACATATATTAGAACATGCATTAACGATTGCTACACACAGTGATGAATGATGGACATTCTGTATGGTCTCCCGTTGTGTCATACGGACCAATCACTCGGAAATGTAACATGTTATGTGTAAGTTACATAGATTACAAACTTGCTTAATACATATGGCCCACTACAACATCTGAGCAAAGCCAAAGATTCTGATGAGAACATGTAAAAGCTGAAGGAGCGATCAAAAAGCGCAGAAGGATGGCAGAACCTCCATTTCTCAGGAATCTGTAAGTAACCAGTTTGGCACGACTTGTGATAATTTGCTTCACAGGCAAATAGTTCCTTCCCTCTGATCCGCAGCAGGAGAGGCTCATCGTTTTGACGTTCAGCTACTTCAATGACATGCTGCCATCCATCCCGACTGAAGTTTGTGAGCCCTTCTGTTGTCCAGCTTCCTTTTGACTTGAATGTTTTCATGAATACGAAGTACAAAAGATGCAGTTAGGTTGGAAGATGATGGGCTCATAGGATAGACGCCGAATTGGGCGGCAAGCTAGTTCCTAAGTTTCAATTTCAGGTTGTTACAAACTATCAAGGTTCATTGTAAAACGCTGATAATATTCTCTGTGATAGCCATGGGTTTCTTCCAAAACTGCCGGCAAGCTTGTACATGACACTTCATTTGATTTGGCGTTACTGGAGGTTCTGCCATCCTTCTCGGCTTTTTGATCGCTCCTTCAGCTTTTCCATCTTCTCTTCAGGATCTTTGGCTTTGCTCAGATGTTGTAGTGGGCCATACTTCAAGCCAGGTACACGTATGATGCACACTGGCTCTGGATCACTGGGAATACGTTTCCGTTTTGGTTGAGATGTCAAAGCTGTCTTCGAGTTGTTCCCGGTTGTATAAGATGTTGGTCTCAGTCACAACAGTTCAACCTCAAAAGACACATAATCATGGTGATGACATTGTTACAAGGTGGGACATTTCCCTATATATTAACTTGGGTATTCTGTAAGAGAATCTTAAGTATGTAATTGGAATATAATTTATTTCTGTGAATGCATGGTCCCTGTTCATTTCAAGCCATTCATATACGATTTGGACGATTCGCATTTTGACATTTTCTGTAAACTGGAAACTTAAGTAGCTAAGTGATGTATGAATTAAATGTTAGTAAGTGAATTCGTCTTTTACCTTCGGTGGTGCCCCCTGCAAATTCACCTTAACTAGTAGCTGTACTAAAACATCTGAAACTCAACTTGAAATGGCAAAATTTGTCAAAATATCAAGCCTGCGTCCAAGAAATTGATTTGTATATTTGCTGAAATAAATAACATTTACATTATGATCAGCTTTTGCACAGCTTTATGGTTGCCATCTTGAATATGTAACACATAGGCCCATTTCATTCAAAATTCTGAAATCGACTCGAGCATTATGCTGTGAACCTCTTATATACATACAAAAGTGATTGATATCAGATTTGTCAAGAAGTATTCTATACGATTGTCCAAAAGTAGATCAATAATCAGCCTACATCAAATTATGGTGTTTATATATGGTTTCCCATAGCATATAACACATCAAGGTCGGTGTATAACACACAAGATGACAAGCCAAATCCTGAGCATACATCCAAGCGTTGTTCCGATGTAGCTAAGCCGAGAATGCAATATTAGGTATCCTACTCTGACATTATAAGAGTAAATGTACTGGAACATGTGTTAGAAGATTATAGTGGAATCAGGCACACGTACCTAGAACATATACCGGATTAAAGGTTTCTGCGAGAAGAATTTAGTTTCGTCGGGATGTATGACGTTCGATTTGCTATGGATTGGTCAATATTCACTCCATACCGATTATTGATACCTCATTGGAGAGGTATTTATATATGGATTCCAGTGGTATATCACACGTGACGATCAGTGGATCACTAGTGAGATGACAACCCAAAACGTAATCATACCCCCAAGTGATATACGGCAAAACCGGTCGAAAAAGCGATTTAGGGTACCATACTTTGAAAGGCTGTAACAACAAGTTCGTCCCAACTTTTTTCTTGTTAACATTCAAAATCATGTTTAGTATGTTTATGGGCTTTAAAAAAATTAAGTGGGGTTTGGATGTGTGGGGGGTGCTCGTGGGTCATACCTAGCCCACGGCCTATATGGATATTTGGATGAATATAGATATACCTCCTTATAGATAGTGATCGTAGATGATTGTAGAAAGTGCATGAAGAAAATGGAATAATTATGTGAGTAATCGGGTAAATACCACGTGTAGCAATATTCAGCCATATTACGATATTGGTTTCCAACATACAAGACGGACCATGAAATTATAACTTGAATTTGGACCTGGCTTTCTGGTGTGATGAAACACCCCATAATCTCCTGTAAAAAAAGAGCTAAACACACGAATATAGATCACGAGATGAAACTGATGTATACATCTGGACATATATTTGCGTAGTATTACAACGTTAATTCATCAGTATACATGTATTTTGCGCAAAAGGATATTGTAGGATCGACGCTGACATGCGCATTTAACCTATTCACCAGTGCTGTAATATTTAATTTATTTGTCTTTTGATACATATCGATAGGAACATGGAGAGTCTGTCTGAAGAAATATAGACATGCTTTGGATCTTTTGGATTGTTGTACTTCACGGTTAGACCAACGCTTAGTCTCTGAAAATATATTATTTTGGTTAAAACGAGAAACTATATTTAAATTTAAAAGGAGCCCAAGTGAGATGGAAATTTCAGCCTGAACCTGTTGAACATCTAGGCTTGTTTCATTTGGGGCTATAGCATTGCAGTAAGGCCTCGGCGGAAGGGAAAATAATATGGTTCAGGGACTGTGAGACAAACTACTTTACGATCTGTATTGCCGTCGTGATCTTTAGAGCTAATAAATTAGAGCCATCTGAGACAGTGACTCGACACCTGTTTGCACCCATCAGATACCAGTCACTCCTGTCACTACTTCTCTCTCCAAACGAAAAAAATACGAAAAATGTCGGAAGTGTATAATTTTAATCTTTCTAACTTACTATTTAGATACATGATTTAACTTTAAAGTAATTATATGTATCTCATGTTCAAAAATGTATTATAGGTATCTGTGATGCTGGTACCGTTTTGTCGCCATTGTGTAGCTTTTGTGGAGTTATTATGAATATCAAATGCATGTCTGCGACTTGAAATATAGACTTGTAAAAGAGTTCATCAATGAACCATATGCAGTCTAACCCATTTAATTGGCGTGTATGGATATATTATCCATTTACTTATACACACTTATTTTGGACATATACAGAATTTCATTGTACCTTATTATTTAAAATAATACCCGTGAAGATCCGGGTTAGAACAGGCCTTCAACAACCCATGCCTGTACGAAGGCGACTAACGTAATCAGGTGGTCAGACTCGCTGACTTGGTTGATGATGTCATCGTATCCCAATTGCGTAGATCGGTGCTCTTGATGTCAATAACTGGATTGTCTCGCCCAGACTGGATTATTTACAAACTGCCGTCACAACAAACAATCAAACAAAAACTATTATTAAACACCTTCCAACAATGAGAAATTAAACTTTTAATTTCTTTATAGTTAGTTTTATTTATAAAATAATTTGATTCATAATTTAATCATTGTGTTGCTTTCTTGTCTGTCATTCAATGCACATGTTCAAACCCCTTAACTTTAAAATATATTTGATTTTTCACAAATGGTTACGTCAGTGAGTTGCCTCGATCTTTTGTTTCCTACTCACACTAACAGATTAAAATAATTTGTTTGTACTATCATATTTCAATTTATTTAACTCTTAATACGAAATTAATAATTCATTTATCACAGTATAGATCATAATTGTATATATGACTATCTGATGTTAAGGTTTTATTGCAGAAATTATAATGAATTCAAAATGTAGAAAGATACACAATTTGCCATGATTTGAAATGCAATATTTTTAAACTATACAAAGCATAATATAATGATTAGAATGCCTGTAACGGACAGTGTTTAAGAAAGAAATATTAGTCGATTAGTCCCATTTTTCAGATATGCCCTTCAGTTGTATTATTGTATATCTCCAGATAGACGTTCACATTGTAGTTCTCATTATTTGTGGATAATTCAAAAAGCAACATAGAAATTATATATTCTACCATGACGAAAGAATATAGAGTATACAATAACTCGCAATTGTTCAAAAGATATTTCAAATCACAATAACATATCTGATCTAAACAGAGGTGGTGATGCTTAAATCTCTACATTGTGCCCTCGTTTGTGGGCCATTGTTCTATTCAGCAAACAGCCCAAACCCCGAAACTCCACAATATATCCGATTACACTGACCCAGGCTGGACCCAAACGTCAATTCTCAATGCGATACTGACATCCTTGTATGTCTCCCAAACCACAGAGAATACATTTAAAAGGAATCCAGCTCAAGTCTAGAACGATTTGGCAAGCCCAGATTGCCTCAATTCTATCCATGGAAGTAAGCATTAATAAAACAGTATTGTTTTTGGCTCCTTTAGATTATATTTTGTAGATACATATTTTTAACTACGAAAATTTTACTGACACCGGTACTGTCCTTGTTGAAGCTATTTATAGCTCAAATAAGAATTTCGAATTATCGTCCATTGTTCGATGCCAATACATCGATGACAAGTGAGGATATCATATAGTAATCGTTGATGCCGCGCTGCGCTATAATAAACATTATAATCAAGTTGACTAGTATGTACATTACTACAGTGAACATGTACCTGATCATGCTCTTCGTAATATCAAATACTAATATGTTATTGTGTGATGAATTTAACTGCATCATTGGTGACATGTGATATTAATATTCCATCAATTTCTTTCCTGGTTGTTCTATCCATATCTACAAAATAAAATTAAAAAATTAAAAAGGAGGATAGAACAATTCTTAATTTCAGGCTAGAGCTGTGGAACTCTAGACTTTCCCAATGATTGTAGATTTGCGCCGGTCTCATGTTTTACTTTATTCTCTCGGGTCTACGTCACAGCTCATACCACACAATAACCAAACCAGTTTGCCCCCCGCCGGAGCTCCTGGATTTTGGTTATATCATCTAACATGGCCAACTCTGCTCTTAAGTAAACAAAAACCTAATCAGTGAGGGGTCCTTTATCATCCATATTTGACTGCTTATACAAATCTTATATCTCTCCTCACAGCTGGTTAAAATATAGTTTTGCTGCTGAATATTCGAAACAGAGTGATTGAGTTGGTACTACGCATGTATACGGTTCCATTTTAAATTACTGCAGCGCTCCATTATGAAAACAAATCGTTTTAACGCCGCTCTCAGAAATAAATGCAAATTGAATCTTGAATCTTGAAAGTTGTAGATTTTCCGCAAATCAGTATCACTTGCAGTATACAGTATATCAACTGCAATATACTGTATACAACATGTAGTATACAATGTGTCGCGAGCAGGAGCACACATTTCCTGCCCCTCTCCCTTCGGCAAACACCTCATGGGGGGTGTAACGAGGTCACAGGTCAGGCGTGCACTCGTCAGTTGTCTGATACGGTTAAGAGTAAGATCTTCCGGACGATCACTGCACTAGAGGAATGTGGATTGTTGATGAGGTACAACGTGTTTGGAACTGGGAGTTGAACACTAAGCACTTATAGAGAAGAGCTCACCATAAAACGTTCGACAGATATAACTTGGTTACCGCTCCCTAACAGTAACATTAACTGAACTTTACGCCTTTTGTACATATTTGTGATGGGGCGACAATGCAACAACGAGACATATTTTGACATTGAAAAATCTCGCGTTAAGGCATTGTCGCCCTTTTGTAAAATATAGAAAAAGATTATTCAAAGAGCGACAA